AAGAAGTAAGAGCAGAAGAGTTTGTTTTTTAAATTCCTCACGACGCAACTGGTATAGCAAGTGGCGCACGTTTTTCGCTGCCATTGATTGATTCTTGAAGCCGATCCCAAAGTCGTGACAAAGAAAATCGTGCAGCAACGTCAGCGTCGCTGCAGCAGCGTATCTTCACTCTATTAAAAACATAAAAACGTTCTTGATGCTACGGTACTATGCGTACGGCATATTTGTGGATCGTTGCTGCTGGTCTCTGTGACACACTTTTCAAAGCATATAGGCATATAAGTAAGTGGTAGTCAGCAGACATAGAATCCAGAAGTAGGTCTCACATTGCTTTCATAATGCAAATCGCACACCAACTAGTAACAACAAACTTGCCTACCTATACAGATACACACAAATACATATACTTAACAACATATGCTTAATATTTTTATGCTGTTTTCAGTTCAAAGAATTCTTTCACTTTCTCATTGTAAATACTGTTCACTCTCACCAAAAAGCTTTAGGAATGAGTTGGTGTAAATTATAACTATTTTAATTTTTTTTTTGTCTATAAATTATTTTTTTTTATTTGTTGTTTTAGTTTTCTGATTATATTTTAACTATTTTTTGTTAATAATAGATTAATTTATATATATATATACATAAGTAAAAAAGTTATTAACATTTATAATTCACTCTCTTTCTCTCTGTCTCTCTCTGTTCATGTTGGAATATTAAAAATCCCACGTGATTCATGTACACTTGCATATTACAAATACTTATAAATATTTACAATGCATTTGGCGAATGTATGCGTGTGAGTGCAAGTGTATAATTAAAATATGGGTCAACAGAGCAAATGCTCATTTCGTGAAAGAGTGCCCCAAGAATATAAGAACAGAATATTAATACATTTTATTGCCTTCACCTTCTTTTGCTCGCATAGGAGAAAACTTGCATTTACCGCTTTAAAGTAATATGAAAGTGATTTTCTGGCTTCAATTGAAAGCGAATTCGGAATATTTTTCTGCTTCTTCAAATCGCTATAGATACGTGACTCAAATCATTTTTTGTTTACAAATTTCATAAGGAGTTCTGCAGAGTTCTTTATGAATTAGTTCGTGTGATGTTTGCAATTAGTGAATGTAAATTAATATGAATAACATAAAGAAATATAGTGAATATAGTAATTAGTAACAAACAATAATGTTATTTAAAAAGTTATAAAACTGAAAATAATAATAACTTTGTAGTTTAGTTTAGTGTCGTACTAATATCAAAAAATTTCAAAATACTTTAATTACATCAAAGATCACATACAAGCATCTATACATTCATATTTACTTAGTACACGATATTTTCTATAGATTTAATTTTTTTTGTTTTGTGATAGGTGCAAAACATCGAAAGTCATAGTGTGAGATTTGAACCTAATAAAGCCACTTCTTAAGAACGTTGAAAAGATTTAGCCATAAGGTAAGGATAGAAATTCATAAACGTTTAAGACTCTTAAAGAGTATACTCTATGGTGACTATATCCGTGATTGTATAAGGGAATTACGTGGGAGGAATGATCGAACTCATTTAAAAGCAATTGGGAAGGCCTATGGAAAAGAGCTGGAAGAAACTCAGTGGAAAGTTCCTCGATTTGCACAATATCAGGAGAGATTATGGCTACAAATTAGATATCTGCGCACCAAAGATGAAATGTAGTCATCCAGTCTTTCCTTGATCGCGGTATAATCAGAAAATTATAGTTTAATAAATGTTGGCCTCTAATAGTGGTAGTGACTTACAGTCAATATCTTATCCTCTCTTTTCCGCTCTTATCAGAGACTTGTTTCGAAATTGTATTAATTAATTGTAATCTACGAATAGATAAGAAGATACTAGACTCACTTAGACTACATGAAGAAGACTTAATGTATTACCACAAGAACTGATAAGACACACTAACATAATTAGTAAACTTAACTACAGTTTCCATATCCATAAAAATAGTGTATTTAATTAAGTATAAATATTATATGTACATATACACTAAAGACAAAAAATAGTAAGGATTATTCCCGTTTTATGAGTTCTCAGTAAAAGCTATATTCTGAGCTAGTCGATGCTATCATTCAAATATTTAGTTTGATATATTTAAATGTGTCGATGTTGCCATTCATATATTTATAAACAATTCTAACTGGATCAGTTTTCTCACATTTTCTTGAGTAAAGCAAACACACCAGTTATACGAGTCAATCTTTCAGATCTACTGTTTCAAACTAGTGAATGAGACATTGAGACATTTTACTATAGGACGACATGAAAACGGGCTCGACCTGCTATGTTGATTCTCCTGTAGTAAATGTGTACCGGCGCTCGAAGAGAAGATTTCGGAGTATCTGTTGTATCTATGTTCAGTCTTAAGATATTGAACCCCCCATTCTTTAATACACTCGGCGTTATTTCAACATTAGTATTGGCCAAATATTTGTATTTCTCAACGGGTTCTAAATACCCATTCTTCTGCCCACAATAACAAGGAATGTAGAATGTAGGAATCAAAACGGCATTCTTAACTATTCGTGAAGGATTGTTTGTGTCGAAAAGATCCTATTTACCTACCTATCTATCAACAATATTAATGATTGTATCAGCGATAGTAGACATTTCAATTCTTTTTTTTTTTAATGAATTCTTTATAGTACACTGATTCACTAAAGAGCGAATCAATTCATTAAAATTTATTCCGTTTCGGAAATTATAAATTTATATAAAAATTTCCCATACTTTTCTGCACCAAAGTAGGTGCATGCAATCGACAAGTGTTGTTAACGCCGGTGCTGCCGCTGCTGCTGCTGGTGCTGCTCCTATGATGAACTTTTAGATATTTACGATTACTGCAAACGCGATCGTTATGAAACACAATAAAAACGTTAGCAAAAACACAAAAAATTAACAAAAGAAACTAAAATAAAATTGCGATTGAAATTGAAATTGCATTTTATGGGTATTTCTTCGTTTGTGCATAGGAGTTAGAGGCAGGGGGTTAGAGACTCGATACAATTATGAGTGTGTGTACATTAAAAATTAACTGAATTAACTGAATTCAGTTGCTGCTGAGAACTGAACTAATTTCTCGTCTACATGTGGTACTCTTCCAAATATTTTTGAGTGCTTGCTTTAATGGCTGCTGGCTAAAATAACTAAACAAAATAAAATTTTAAACAAAAAAAAATTTTTAAAATAAAACTACGCTTTATTTGTATAAAATGTTACACCTGAACTGAATTGTGTTTGGCATAAGTAGTCTCCAGTTTTTTACTAATCAATAATTCATGCACAGAACTATTTTACTGATGAAATCATCTAATTTATGTGATCACCTCAAAAAGCAAGATTCTACTAATAGTACAGTAATGCTTAATTATTTTCTGCTTGTCAATATAAAATAAATGCGTCATTCGATCGGTTATAAACTTATTTAATTGATTTAATTGAATTATAAAAAGTTTGTTAGGTAACAATTTAAATGTAGTAATTAATGCTTATTTGCAGTGCTCGGAGTGTTTCGAGTGCGTTATGCTCCATTTCGTATTAAATATCTAACACCGAAAAGGCGTCATATATCTAGAGTTTAAGTCTTTATGCACTTAAAAGCTAAATAAACTAATATACTATTTTATACTATACTATAGTATACTTACTATATATACTATTTTCATATATATATATATATATACATATATGTGTTTATATAGGTATTTACTTTTATTTAAGTGAAAAAAAAAATTATGCAAATTAAACGCAAAATTGTATTTTGTCTTTTAGTGAACTACGAAAAAAAGGTGAATGAAACCTGACGAATGCCGCGTCGCGAGTTACTGCAGTTGTAGCACGTCGTCTGCTTTGGTTAGCCCCACACGTTTCAGCTTGCCCGATCGCTCAATTGCTCGATTACCCAGGCACAGGCACAGGTTGTGTCGTGAGACCATACGTCAAGACAAGTTTTGTGATTTTCACCTGCCGTTTGCAGGGCGCAGAGAAGCGAAGCTATTCGAGTTTAAATGTTGAATTTAATTGAATTTTAACATGCCGCTACGCTGCATTCATGGGGTACTACAATTAATCGAACTTATAATCTGTCTAAATGCATATAAATTTACAAACGTGTATATGTATATTATATATTATATTTGTATAACACATTTTGTATACATGCATATTATAGTATATGGGTATTTGTAAATGCTTGTTGGATTCCACGTCGCTGCAAATAAACTAATAAACAAAACTTCAAATTTCGTTAACGATTATACAATTTTTTATTTGCTTTTGCCTGACTTATTTCTTGCATATTTTTCTTTAAATATTTTAAAGTATTTTATGCATTACTTTTGATTTTATATCTTGTATTACTTTTTTTTTTACTCGAATAAGAAATGCAAATTTTTAAGTTTTTGCACGAATTCTTTCAGAGCCTTCGAGCGAATAAAGAAATGCCATCATCAAACCGATCTAGCGGAGGTGTTTCCAATATTAACACAAAATAAGTTTTCACTTCTCGACAGCTGACTGCGTTGTTGTTTTCGCTGTCATTACTGTTACGAACGCTGTTCGCGTTGCAGTTATTGCAGACGTTGCTGCTATTGTATTCGTTGGCGTATACTTATTTATTTAGATTTTTTTTTCATAATAATTATATCGTTGGGCGAAAGCCTCTTCCCATATAACTTGTGTGACTAAGCTTACAGTCAGCGTCGTTGTTCTCAGTCGCTAGTCTCTGTCATATCATCGCCAACACTAGACGCCCCACTCCTCGTTCGCGTTCATTCTTCATTTGTCGTGCGACTTGCGGTTCTTCTCATGATCGTCTCTCACAAGTTACTCATACGCTCACTTATTTACTTATTTGCTTATTTGTGTTCGTTGTTGTTGTTATTATTATTATCATTCTTCTTGTTGTTTTTGTTGTTGTTTTGTTTATTTGGCTGATTTGGCTGCCGAAGCAAAGCATACGCTAAGCACTGGCAGATCCAAGAGCCACCAACCAACCAACCAACAAAAACAACAAATTTTTTGAAATTAGTTCTAGTGAGTCTGTGAAAGTGTTTGCGACGATCGACATACTCGCGCTCTGCTCCTTAACTAATAGCGAACAAACAAAATATAAAAAGAAAAAAAATTTATAATAAATTCAAAAAGTATAGTAACAAAAAGAAAAAACCATAAAAAATACAAAATAATCAGCAAGCAATAACGAAAGTTTTTGTAAATTTTATCGTTGTTGTTTTTGTAATTGCTGTTTTTTTTTCGTGGTTGATATACGTTTTGTTTTCTTCTTCTACATTTTTAATTTTATTGTTGTTGTTATTTTTGTACATTATTTTATAAGCTTACAAGACGAACGAGTGTGCTGTGTGTATGGAACAATTGAAAATTTCTAAACAAACGTAGTCGTTGTCGATCAGTTTTACGTAAAAATTTCACTGAATCGGTTTGAATTCGTTAGCGGCAGAAACGCAGAATATAAGAAAAATACAAAAAAAAAATATTCAAAAAAATAATATAAAAAGTACGACGTTAGATTTTAAATTAGTTTTTATTAAAAAAAAAATAAAAATTAAAACTATTAGTTCAAAAAGAATAACGTGTGTTAATAACATTATTTGAAAAATCAAAAAAAAATTCTTAAAAGAGCGTAACAAAAACAGTGCAAAACGCACATTTATAAATCTGTGAGCAAAAACAAAAAAGGAATAAAAATGTCGCACCAGTGCAGTTGTGGTCGTGATTTGAACAATAATTACGTCTCCTATACGAATGCGTACGCAAATGCGAATTCGACCATCGATCGTGAAGCCAATGCAACACTGTCTGGCTCAAAGTCTAATGCGTCATCGAAGTACACCATGAATACGACACGTACTCCTGGTGGACAGACACAGCTAACTGCGAAAGTAATGTTCGGCACTGTGGGCGCCATTAAGGAGCTGCGTGAAAAGGAAAAATCAAGGCATGCCGCTACACGTGCTGGGGAACGCAGAAATTGATACACATCCGATAAGTAGCGATAATTCCGAAGCGCAATGATCCAAAAAAACTGAAAGATGTGAAGATATATAAACGTATTTTAAGGACACATTGGCGAAAGCTACAAAATACCTGGTTTATGTGTGTAGATTCTTTGTGTAGTAGTGCAAAGAAATATTTGCTAACAAATTACGCCTAATTAGCAAATATGAGTGAATGTATGTAAAAAATATTAATAAGAAAAATCAATAAAAAAATGTTAAAATTTGTACAACAACAACTACATAATAGATCTTAAAGCTTTTAGTAGGAATCATGTGTATATATTTTCTAGAATCTGAAATATTATCAATTTACATGTTTCCAGTTTTTTTTATTAATATTATATTACAAATTTTTGAATTTTTATTTGTATGTATGTGTTTAAGGTATTTATTAATTTTAAAATTTTATACAAATATCGAGTATAAAGAATCTTAAACAATTTTATATTTTGTTTAAAAAGGCTTAAATAATTTTCATTTTTTGTGTTTTAGTTTACTTTAATATTGATATAAAAAATATTTAATAATATATAATAATGAATACATTCTCAAAATTTTTTTTTGTTTTTTAATTTATTTAAATAGTAACATAAAAAAAATATTTAATAATTTATAATAATGAAAACATTCTCAAAATTAAATACAAACTCATATATACATGAAATATATATGAAAGTAAAAGTTATTGTAGTGAGGAGATTTTTTTTCCAAAAATTTCTTTATCATGCCACAGAAAAACCTAAACAGTTTTATAGAAAATGAGTAAAAATACTTACTTCATAATTTTCAATTTATTTTACATTTAAAGACAGCTTAAAAACATATCTAAGCAATCACTTTCGATTTTATTTGAATTCCATTACATGTACTAAAATAAACCAAAATAATATATTTAATTTAAAGCTTGAGCAGTTGAATACTACTCATCAATAAATGAACGCATAATTACACATTAATAAAAAAATCAGCAAATCATTTACTAAAATTGATATTGAAAATCTTCTTATTGCCAAGTACTTTCCTTTTGGTATATACTTCACACACAAAATACGTTACATATCAAATTTTCAATAATTAACTTACAGCGTACGGTTTAATATTTGGTACTATCCACTTAAAGTTATTTTGTGCCTCTTACGAATTCTCATAGTACACAAAACAACATCGTTATTATTGCATGTTTTTTCCATTTAATTAAATATTAAAGTAATACAAGCAAGTGTTCAAAAAATAGAAAAATTCAGATTCAGAATCAGAAATTCAGAATCACAGATTCAAACATTTTCGCAGTTAGAATATAAATATAAAGACAAAACCACATAAATATATTAAATTAACATTGATTTATGTTTCTATATATGTATGTATATACAAAAATATATATATTTTTGAAATATTAGCTATCGATGTTTTTTACAGTAATGGCGTTAAATAAGAAGATTATTTAAAATACATAATATTGAATGAAAGTATACAAATCAGATATATATATATAAAATATAAAAACAAATTATTTAAATGAAGAAAATTTGTTAATATATAATACTATTATTATTCTTGAATTTTTATTTTATTATTTTTTTGTTTTGTAATGTATTTAATATATCACAAAAATGGAAGTATTTGTTAATCACATATAAAATACTATTACTACATGAATTTAAGGCTAAAAATAATAACATATTAATATTTTATTTAATTTCCTATTTAAATAATTTAATTAAATTATAAATAAACTATTTATATATTTATACATATTGAAATAAATAAAATCTATGATATATATAAGCTATTCTTATAACTTTTCTTATTATATACGATTATCCTTTTACTTTACTTATTTCATTAAATACTATATCAGGCTAAATTTTGTTGATAATTAACAAAGATTTTATTATAATAAAAAATTCATTTTGTCGTAATTTAAGCACTAATATAAGCCGATATATAAAACAATAATACTATAAAAATAAATATAAAAATCTTTAAACTTATATTTAAACTATGGGATATGGTATTTAAAACGATTTCCATAAAGTTCATTTAAGTTAGATGCAATATATAGTAAAAAATATAATTTTATTTGAAATTTATATTCGATTTATACAAATAATAAAGAAAAAATATTCATATTTATAAAAGTGCATAATAAATAAAATATATTTATAAATACAAAAATATATGTAATTATGTAGAAGTAATATAATATGTATGCATACTCCTTTAGTGCAATAATTGTTTTTTAGTTATAAGTTCAACATTATTCAAAATAAATAACTTTTCATTTCTTTTATAAAAGAATGTAAATTTTATATAAAATTTTGTAAAACAAATATTTATCTATAAAAATATAAAAAAAATTTTGTCTTTTTTTTCTAGAATTTTTTTGTATTTTTAATTAATATAAATAAAATAAATTTTATTACTGTGTGTCAAAATAACATAAAATCATAAATTTTATGAATCATTAAACTATAATCAGTTGATGAAAACATACTATTCAATAATTACCATAATTGAATAAGGAAACTTCCACCACAAGTCAAGTTATCACATTTATGGAAGTGTTTGTTTTGGTATATTTACATACTGCATGGAGACCACTGAGCTTTAAGAGTAGATTAAATCAACCATTATTTTATTTAAAGTGTTTTATTTAATAATGTTTTAAATAGTTTTCTACTTCCCAATTATTTGTTGAGTTTTTACAATGTTAAGAAGCTAATACGAAGTGAATAAACTATTGTTAATTATTGCTTAATAATTTATATATCTTTACTTTATCGCTACAATATCTACGTTTCTACATCATCAAATGCTATCTATATCCTTGCAGCAGAGTTTTGGCGAGTGCATTCTAAAAAACAATCTATTTTGCGAAATGCACGGACTCAAAATTCGCTTTAGCCATATGGTTCCTTAGTAGCAGTTACTTACAATAGTCAATAGAATCATGTATTGCTATAAGATTGTAAGAATTACTCATCATGTACTTTGCGAATACAGTTAATTAAATTAAAACGTTAACAGTTGCGCTTAAACAATGTGATACTGGCTTTAATAGAGATAATGGCATTCAATTATTCAATTATAGCTGTTGATTATATAGATTTGTATAGATTTTTAAAGTGACGGAATATTCATAACTTGTAGAATCCTTTGAAATGATTTGATTAAGCTTGTTTGTGGTTACTGCCTTGTACACCAAATATCACTTGATTAGATATAACATATGTATAGATTTGTAAAATGGCTGAATATTCTTTTGAATCTTGTGGAATCTTAAAATACGATATGATATGTAGGTTTAGAGGGGCGGCTTTGTATATCAAAATTCATTTGAGTACAAATAATAACTACTGTGATACTACGGATACATACAAGTCTCATACACTGTATCAAAAAGACCAGCAAAAGAAGTTATAAAATGTGAAGCGGTCTGCCCATACATAACGCAGACATAGATTAAAGGGCAGGCATGATCAGGAATTAATTTAAATAGAACGAAATCAACCTGACAAGTCAATAGACTTGACAATGTTCCTAATTTTAAACGATGTTTGCTCTGCTAGATCAGTGAAAAAATAAACCCTAAAAACGTTACATCTACTTTTAGTCAAATATGAAACAGTTTCCTTTTCTTTTGCAGGACCACAACCACGACAAAAGTCATTAGGTGGTAGACCAAGTCTCATTGAATGTGTCCTTAGTGCAAAGTGATTTCTTAATATCAATACAGTAGTGCAATGTAGGTTCCACTTCAGTTGAAACAGATATAATTTATTTAATTTATGACTAAATTGGATTTTTTTAGGTGTTGCAAAATATATTTGTTTAATGGTCATTTTAATCATTGCAAGTGCCATATCGATGTCCGAGAAATGAGTTTCAGAGAGCAACGTGTCTGATTTGGAAAGTTATCAGTCACACTATTACCTTAAATGAGGTTGTACCCATATGTGTTATACACTGATAAGCCAAGCCAACCCGTTGAAAGAAGCCTGATATTCTCGAACTATTAAGGATGAAATCGAATCGCTTACTAAAGATTTGATAGATGTTTGCTATCAAATACGCTAGAAGAATGACTCAGTACCCATTTTGATATTGAATGGTCAATACTTCTGTCTGAAATACGCTTTCGTAGTTAAATATTCGAGGCGAAATGTAAATACCTTATCTTTTTTTTGGAAATATGCCGCTTCCGACTTTACCAACTAGTTAAGAGAAATGATACGAAACCGGTCCATATTTTTTTGTTTAACAATCTGATAGATTTAAGAAAGTAAATTATAAATTATATATAATCTCTGATTTTTTTATTGTGTATGAAATAATTAAAATAATTTATTTAAATTAAAAATTGTTTGTAAACATAAATTTCCTCAATCTGTATTAATTATTTACTATTAAGATTACTATTTAGAGGGGTTTTCGAATAATAATAATAAAGCTTCTTTGTCACTATACAAAGTAAGTCTAGCTTTACAGCAACACTAATACTTTATTCAAGATTACTATTATTAAGATAAAAGTAGTAAACATTATTACTTGTTTTTTCTAGTTCCATATATTCAATATTGAAGTAAAAGAAAATACCAGATACTTCACTATTTTGGCTAAAAAGATATTTTTATATTCAAGTGGGTAAGTCTACAACTTTCTTCAGCATTACTCCTTTGTCTCAAATTGTCAAATATTTTTAAATTGGAATAAAAATACATAGTTAATTTATTATGTATTAATGAAGTTATTTTATTCATTGTTAGGCACCTTGTTATATTTATCAATTGCATTGATTTGTCCACTATAGCTTAGAAGACTTTGTTCAGGAACTATGTATAGATCGCAAAAGCTCTTTATTTTATTTTATAACAAAATATAATTCTTTAATCCAATTTTATTTATTTATATGATTATCATATCATATCATGACTTATCTTCTATGATTTTAAAAAGAAGAAATATCGCTGTAGTCGTTTTTAAGTTCATTAATAAAAAAAAACTAAAAATTTTTAAAAATTAAAACTTATCTCTAAAATTCTAGTTACTTTATAATTTTATAAAGTAAACTTGATACTATATACTAAAAACTTAATTGCATATTTTTGTAAACACTTTTCTTTGGAAAATGAAGCTAATTGTTTATGTTTTGTCACATATATTTTTTTTGTTGTTTTTATACAAATTAGGGGAGTATGCCGATGAATAGATCAAAACAGAAAGCCGTATTTTTTAATTTAAATATTGATGTTGTTTCAATACCC